GAAAAATGGTAATTTCTTGAGAAGTTCTGAGACTTTATTCTTTATTTTCATTACAATCATTTTCCGGAAGAAAAACAAACACTTTCAAAAAAATTCAACTCAATATAGTTTGATGAAATTCAATGACTCTGATGTGAATGGATATCAGATACTCCAGGGACACGAATAGGATAACCTAGGGATGTACCGGGCGGGATGTCCCCTGGACAACCACTGCAGGATATCCCCTGGATGTCCCAATCATGCCCTTGTACCGCGGGACAAAAAAGGCAATTCTACGACCTATATGAAACTGTCATCTCCATGTCATACCGGGAGACAAAATGTTGTTCTATTCAGATTCGTGGTTGCCCACACCTTTCTGAATGGTTTTTATATCACAGGAGATGGGACCTGGTTTGATTGATGAATATTCATAGAATAATATTTTTGGATATTGGGAGTATTCATGAACATGCCAAGGATATACATATCTTCTACGGAATTTTCCCTGAATGTGCTGGTGGGGAAGAATGTATATATTCCTAGAGTATACACAATGAATATTCTAGAAATATTCAGATAATATTCGGAATATTCCAAGAATAGTACAGGAATATCAATGAATAAATATTCCTGGAACATTCCACCAAACATATTCATAATAAAAAGAACTGACCCAAGATGGGCTCGAACTCGTGACTTCAGATTGTCAGAGCAACGCCTCAACCACTAGGTCAGTAATCGAGTTGAATGATATTGTACATAAGTACATACCAATTTCTCAAAGAGCGTTGTTCAGAAGCGGATCTTAAACACTTCATGTTTTAGAATCTTGATGAATAATAAAAAGGATAGCTTATATGGGCTCGAAACATGTACGATGATCTGATTGAGTAATTTGATCCCTATTAAAATCACTCCACTCTCAGATATGATGGATTTCTACCACAGTTTTTTTCATAAAAATGTTGATACTCGCTTCGCTTCTATGAAATAACCTAACCTGACCCGTGTGGTGGTCGGATTAGAATAACCCCACGGTAATCCTGCCTGTCGTAGAAGGCGACTAAAAGGACACCAATAGGTGGAAGATGGTTAACGCCATCGCCCGGTGCGATACCACCACATCAACCATAGGCACTGTGAAATGGGTATACCTACCCGTGTTTCAGTAGCTGGTTGATGTTCCGGCCAACCCAACCCAACCCAATTTCCTTTTCCTTCCACGCCAACCTCCCTTTTTGATGAATAATACGCGATGATGAGTTCTCCTCAAGTAAAATTATCCGGAAGTAAAATACCTCTCCATTCGGATTTCCGGGCGAGAGGTGCTAGAGGGGGTTCACCATCGGCTGAAAAAGTCCTCAAGATAGACCTTTTTAACATCCGAGGTATAAGTAAGAACATCAACGATGTCCATCGACACCTTCAAATTGATAAGCCAGACATTTTGGCTCTTACTGAGACACAGGTCAATTCATCCACCAATGCGACCTATCTGCTCTGTCCTGGGTACGAACTCCACACACGTTTCAGATTCAAGGGAGGTCTCTGCCTCTACTCTAGAACGAATCTCTCATGTCAACGAGAAAAAACTTTGGTACCAAATAAGTTTGATGTCATGTGGTTCAAACTCGATAGCCAGAAACAGACCAAATACCTTTGTTGTCTCTACTTATCACCGAATGATCCATCCTATGAAGAGCTCTTCGAATTCTCTTTTCTGAAGCTTGACCAAATTCAACAGAACCATCCAGCAGCAGAAATCATCATCATGAGCGATTTCAATGTACACAACACTGCTTGGCTCGTACACTCTAACAGAACGGATGAAGCTGGGCGACAAGCCGAAGCTTTCGCCATCACTCACGGCTTAGAGCAGCTAATCGAAGAACCCACACGAATTCCCGATGCCAATAACCATTCAGCTAACATACTTGACTTATTCCTCACTAATAATTCAGCACCCTACACCATAGATGTACGAGCTCCACTTGGCAATTCTGACCACACACTCATCTCCACAACCTGCCCATTTTTCATTCCATCAACTGCTCCGGCACCCCCACGTCCTATATGGCATAACAATTCAGGAGATTGGGACGGTCTCCGCATGTTTTTCTCTGAGTTTCCTTGGCATAGAGTATGCTTTGACTCTGAGGACCCTTCACAGTGTGCTGCGGAAATATCCGAGATCATCATGCTCGGAATGGACACATACATACCTCATTTTTCGAAAAGATCATCACCATCGAAACCCTGGTTCAACAAAAACTGTTCTAGAACTCATAAACAAGACACACAAAGTCATATAGAACTGTTCTAGAACTGTTGCCTTGGAACAAACAGCCTACCATCGCTGGCGCAAAAACCCTAACCTCGCGACTAGAGCAGAATACGTTGATGCCAGGAATAACAATAGATGCTTCGAAAGAAACATACAATGCCAAGATGAGATCGAAACTCATAGATTGCCCCAATGGCTCCCGTTCGTTTTGGTTCCTTGCTAAAGCGGTCGGAAGAAATTTCACTAATAGCTCATTTCCACCACTGTCCAAATCCGACGGCACATTAGCAACAACATCGCAGGAGAAAGCAAATATTTATGCAGAGATGTTCGCAGCAAACTCTACTTTAGATTTCCAAGGAAAACTGCCGCCAAACATTCCACCCGTTGAGAGTCGAATGCCCGAAATCGTCTTCCATCAACGCACTATCAGACAGATTTTGCTTGGTCTCAAAACGAATAAGGCTAACGGTCCTGATGGAATTCCACCCATTATCCTCAAAAAATGTGCACCAAAATTAACACCGATTCTCTGCAAGTTGTTTACCATCTCGTACAGGTCGGGTATTTTTCCATCATGCTGGAAGACAGCTAGAGTCCAACCAATCCCCAAAAAAGGGAACAAGAACCTGCCCAACAACTACAGGCCCATTGCCCTGTTATCAGTAATCTCCAAAGTGATGGAAAAAGCCATCAATATTGAGCTTATCAAATATCTGGAGAGCTCAGGAATCATCGATGATAGACAATACGGCTTTCGCCACCGAAGATCTACTGGAGATCTACTTGCCTACGTCACCCATTCATGGCAATCTTCAATAGAAAAACACGGGGAATCTCTAGCTGTCGCGTTGGACATATCGAAAGCATTCGACCGTATTCGGCACGAAGGACTCCTCCAAAAACTACCATCATACGGCTTACCACCTCAGCTATGCCATCTCTTATCGAGTTTTCTTTCAGGCAGATCGCTTCACGTAGTGGTGGATGGTGTATCGTCTGATACCATTGGCATCAATTCCGGCGTTCCACAAGGATCAATTTTGGCACCAACATTATTCCTGCTTCATATCAATGATCTGTTGGGAGTAACAACTTGCCCCATCCACAGCTTTGCAGATGATAGTAACCTCCATACTGCGTTCTCTTCCAGAATTCCCATTTCTTCCCAGGAAACTAAGAACACACAGCGCAGGCAGGTCAATGCTGTCTATGAAGATCTTGCTGAAATCACAGCCTGGGGAACAAACAACCTAGTTGAATTCAACGCCACCAAAACTCAAGCCTGCATTTTCTTTAGAAAGGCGGAACTCAGTATGCTCGATATTATAATGTCTGGCTCCACCATCCCCACCTAGCCCACTATATCTATGCTCGGTATTTCCATCAGCAACACTCTTTCATGGGATAATCATGTCAGATCCATTGCAAAAGCTGCTTCACAAAAACTCGGATTCTTGTTCCGTGCAAAAAGCTACTTCACACCTCAACAGCTCCTCATGATCTACAAAACGCAGATACGGCCTGTTCCATAATACTGTTCCCACATATGGGGTTCAGTTCCAAAACATACGCTGATGCTCTTAGATTCCATCTAGAGAAGAGCCATTCGCCTGGTGGGTGACGCCACACTCACTCACTCTTTGACATCATTGGAACACCGTCGCCGACCTTTCACTTTTCTATCGACACTTCCACGGGAAATGTTCTTCGGAAATCTCTGCTATCATTTCTTCACTAGCAATACCAATCAGACGAACTAGACAAGCCCAGTCAGCACATCCTTTCGTTCTCAACCTCGAAAGATGTCGAACAGCACTTTATCAAGACTCCTCCATCCATAGAACGGCTAGGCTCTGGAATTCATTGCCTGTGGAAGTATTCCCAACAACATATAATCTCCAAAAGTTCAAAAAAAATTCCAATACCTACCTCCTGTCCCTATCCTTCCTAGGATTGCACGATGTTCTTTGAACATTATAGGGATTCCCTTTCGTGCGCTCCAAGCGATAAAAAAAATAATACAGTGATTGGTGTTTATACTATAATATATTTCATTGAAACACATGAGAATAATAATTATGGTATATTCCATGAATATACAAATCAGAACGAATCAGAATATCCAGTTGAGAATATTCTTGGGATATTCCTACCTGAATATTCCCTGAGCAATCCAACTGGAATATTCTTGGAATATTCATCTTTGAATATTACTTTTGGAATATTCCGTGTATATTTTGGAATATTACTAGAATATTCGAATTTGAATATTCTTTGGATATTCCAGAGGCACATACACATTCTAGAAATATTTGGTGGATATTCGGAATACACTCTTTTCTTTTAGCATATTCAGAGAATATTCTAGGAATATCCAGTGCTGTCTGGGATAGGCAGTAATAAAAATATCGAAATCGTTTTGTGTAAATACTCGTTAGCCATTCTCTTATTATTTCCGATCACAAAATCGTGTTATCTTCATTATAAATAATTCTATTCACAAGTTTATGTACATAAATAAATAATGTCTCATGCTCCATAGATTTACTTTCCCACTGATGAAGAAATCAGATATAATACCATCATATCTAAACTACAACAAATGTATTGTTGATTACTCAAATGGGCTCAATATGAAATACTTCTTCATCCTTCAATAACCTTCGAGCTAGATTTTTCTAAGATCCTCCGGATCAAACCGAGGCATGATAGATCTTTGAAAATTGGAAATCATGGCGCTATTTTGAATGCTCCCTCTAGAATAATCGGTGATTCACGACGAGAGAAATACGAAATTGATCTGAGAGTAGTGGACATCTTGGCGGGTTCGAATAACCTTCACGAAGGTTATTTCATGAACATTAAGTTAATCAAATCATCCGTTGACATTGAACTATGAATACTGACCAAGGAACTCATGAAAAACGTACCAACCTAATAAAATTTTGTAGGAAAGTATTTAATGTAAGGGTTCCATAGTCAGTTTTCATTCGATTTATAGTAACACTCCTATTTTCCGAATGGTTCAATCATCTCTTATCAGAATATTCTTGTATAATTCATTCATCTAGATATATAAAATACAGAAGATCAAGATCCAACTAGGTAAAATTTGGCTCTACTTGAGCAAACCACTCTATATGACGAATATTGGAAATATCAGTTCATAGTCTGATCACTTCAAAAATCGAAATATTTCTCTTAATATCGTCTGTCTCATCGTGAAACACCTTGTATAAATAAATTGAAAAAGTCTTTCTCTGAAGATTCAACGTACTAGTAGGTTCTTATTTTCTTAGTCGATATCAACTGTCCAATTCTTTTTGTATCTCGTCGACATTCTTTCCTTTCGTTTCCACCACGAAGAACATCGTGAACGGTATGGCAGCCGCGCAAAATCCGGAGAAGATCCAGAAAGACGGTCCCATGCCGATAGCATCGGAAATCGCCGCGAAGTATTTCGCAATCAAGAATCCACAGAACCAGCAAAATCCAGCTGTGATTGATGAAGCTATAGATTTCACATTAGCAGGGAAAATCTCCCCCATAACAGCCCAAGGTAACGGCCCGAAACCGAAGTTATAGGTGATGATGTAGGCGATCAGGCAGACGATTGGCAGGAATGACACGGAGCTCATGTTAGTGCCATGGCTGTCCAGGTAACAGTAGATGCCCAGCGGTACTTCTGCTATAACCATCCCCACAGCTGACACCAGCAACAGCACTTTCCTGCCCAGTCTGTCAGCTATCAGAGGAGTCAAGAAGCTGGTACCGAACTGGACGCCTCCAATGATTATTGAACAAATCTCTGGCTTGATGGAAGTACCCGCTTTTTTGAAGATTGTCTGGGCATAGAAGAGCACAGCGTTTATACCTGAGAACTGCTGGAAGAACACCAGGCCGACTGATATGCCTAACGCCTTGGTCAAGGCTTTGGATCTGTAAATATCCATGATGTTTCCTTTACCATCCTCCTTGGATTTCTTCTGGATGGCATCTAGCTCATAATCCACGTTGACTGTCGGACCCCTTATCTTCTGCATAGACTCTCTGGCCTCCTTGTACTTTCCTTTGCTGATGAAGTACTGGGGAGTCTCTGGCGATAGAAAGTAGAACGTTGGTAGAAATATGATAGCGAATACAGCCAGTATCAGGTTGAAGACCATCACGCTGGTGTAGGGACCGACGCAATAGGCAAAAAAGAGGCCACTGCAGAGGAACACGTTCATCATTGAACCCAATGCACCCCTGTTGGTGTCTTCTGCTACCTCTCCGACGTACATGGGGATGACTGTGAAGACCCCTCCTAGGACGACTCCAAGGAAGAATCTGGCTAAGTAGAATATCCAGATTTCGGTTCCGAAGGCCATGAGTAGATAACATACTACGAAAGGCACCCCGCATGTTAACAGAGTGTTTTTTCGTCCGATCACGTCAGCTAAGTAGCCGAATATAAAAGGGCCAAAGATCGATCCCAATGGGAAGAGGGAAGATATCCAAGATCGTTCATCTTCGTCTATCGGGTAACGGAATGGTGTTTCGGTATCATTGGCTAGTTTGTCGAGTTCTGGAGACGACCAGGTGAGGACTGTTCCAGCTACAAAGTTGACGATGTTTCCTGGAAAAAAAAGTAAGTTAGGTTTGTTTGAATCCGTTGAATTAAAATCAGATGAGGAACATTTTCGTCTGGTGGTCAACAACTGGAATTTTATGTTTTCTGGTTTCGTTATTCTCCATTCGATTTTTTTTACGTCATTCAAAGACTATACAGGATGGGGAAATGGTGCGTCAGACTGCGATTGCTCGGGTACTATGAAAGCTAGAAATATAATTCAAAAACGAGTTCGAACCAGAAAATATTGTCTATAAAGAGACATTATTTCCGCATAAAAAACCGAATGAACCTCAAACAGGCGATGGCATTTTTTCAAAATTCAATTCCATGTAAGTATATTAGCATCAAAAGGGTGAAGTTTAATAAACATGTATATCGATCAGATCTTCACTGAATCAACTCAGGCATCTCTTCCTGAGCCCGTACTATATATTATGCCTTCTAGGAATTTGGTGACCAACTTTGAAGTACCGTTATACAAGGAATATAAGAATAATGCAAGCAGATTCTTCGATTTTTGTCTTCCACTATCTTTTCTATAAAAATAATATGGCGAAGTGGAAAGATATTGAAATCATAGGAAAGGTAGATCGAAACTATAAAGAAGAAGGAACTGTTTGAATTACTACGAACACATACATCACCATTGCTTCCTGTTCAGTTGATTAAAGAAGAACATGGTATTCAATTCAAGATCAATCAATCGAAATATCCTGTAACTCACTATTTTCTGTCAACTCCAGTCACTGACAAGTGTCGATAGGAGAAAAATGAAGCAATTCACCTGATTTGTCCCTACTACAAGTATACAGTGAGGACCAATAAAAGTCCGTCGCCACCCTCGTAACTTCTTCATTTTACGTATTACTAAGGAATTGTGGATGCATTATAACCCTTATACGTGAGAAATTCAGAGATTCCAGGTTACACTGTGCGAACGGTCAGCTCATATAGTCGGGGCAAATAGGTCGTGGTTCATTCATTCACCATCTCATGTAACTTTGTCAAAAATATAACAATTAGCATAAGAAAGATAGTTCCACCAGAGAAGATTTTATTTGGATGCCATCTACAGAAAATAAAGTTCAACAAACCTCTTTCTTAAGCCAATCCCTGTAGAAAGAAATTGTCTGTGCTGAAGGATAGGAAAACAAATCAAACAAATAAAATGCAGGTTCATTTACTGACTAAAAAGGGTATTCGAAGGAGTATTAAATCTGCATCACAAAACATTTATAACATGTGTCACAAATAAATTTGACTGCACCTGAAATGCAACTATAGGTGTGCATATTTATTATACAGGATGTTAAATAAACGTTCTCCTATCAGTGAAACTTGACACAATGATCATCAGCTTTGAATAAATCTAATCAATGAAATCAATGGAATATTCCCCAGATATAATGCATTACACCTCCACAGATTTAGGAATATTGAATGATGATTTTATAATTGTACCAGATTCTAAATTGTACTTGATTTTAGATTATAAAAGATTTGATAATAAATGTTTCAACGATCAGTGAGTACTTTATAATATGCAGAGAATACCTTATGTCAGCAAGACTGTGAATAAGCCAGAAAATGTTGTTTGACCAGAGCTTATTGATATTTCCAGCTCCCAAATTACATCATGGTCAATTTCATTATCATTTTGGGCTCCATCAGGTTCCAGATTCCATGAGCATACGAGTCTGGTGAGACGTCAGGTGACCTATAAGTATGTCCAGCCAGTACGTTGAATTTATGACAGCAAGTTGGAAATTATCTATAACTTCTTGAAATTTACATCAATAGCTTTCCAGCGTTAGCAGGAACAATAAATCGGCTCTAAAAGCCAGGACAATCTTTCCATGAAGATTGTTTCCTCAAATCATCAGAAATGCTTACTCTCTCGAGTCCATGAAAAAGCATTTATCAGCAAAATAGTTATACATAATCTTCCAAATCCAAAAAGTTGAAGATAAAATAAAAAGCAAAAGTAAAAGTGATATAAACAGTCTGGCAGAACAGAAGAAAAATGGTGGATGATCAGAAATGTAATTTAGCGGACATCCACCTACGAGTTCATTCAATGATGGCCAGATGCAGAAATGAACGATTTTCAATTTTTCTTTCTCTTTTCTAGTTGGAAATTCAAATGTCCATGTCATAAAAGTCAAAAAATCATAGTAACCCAATAGCCAGATTCGATTCAACCGTTGCAATAACCGATATCAGGTTCAAATGAATAATCAATACAAATCAATACAGATCAATAAGAAAACGCTGACGGCCTACTACCTAGACATGTTAAAGATATAGAGAAGTTTATCAACCTTGATATGTTACTGTCGCGATCCTGCTCGTTGAAGGTCTGAACGCTGAACTACTCGTTAATGCTACATGGGACAAAGGAACAAAAGAAAAAGAAGAATTAAAATTACAATTTTTGGCTGTATATCATATGACAAGAGGCCAGGAAGTTGAGAAGAAGAAGAAGAAGAAGAACCTTAACAACTCGTTTGACATTTCATCTAAATATTTTCAAAACAAACTGAAATAATGAACTTTCATCAAGTCAACAAAACATAACATGCAATTTAAATCGACTATGCAAAGAATATACAGGATGATCTCCGATGTATGCCAGTGACTCGCAGCTCCATGAAATCTGTAACAGAAAAGCTCAAAATATCCTACAAAAGGGATGCAAGTTCTCAAAATACATTCAGTGAAAACCAAAGTTGAATTAATTACTCTGAAAAGGTCAGTTGAATACTTGGTACTATCAATATTTCATAGAAAAAGTAACATTCACTGAGAGTTGATGTTACAGCATAAGTTGAAGGGTTTCATTCCATTCATTCAATTATTTCAGATTGACTTATACAGAGTGTCCCAAAGAAGCACAACTACTTGAACGATTTTATTTACAAGGAACACCTTGTATATCATTGCATTCTTAGATCCCACGTTGAAGTTTTAACAAGTTTGATGAATAGTTTTATATCACAAATTTCAATTGTTCGTGAAATTATGCACAATTGTAAATTATTATTTCGACTATCTAGCACCAGTTATGAGTGAGCAAACTGTTACAAATGGAAGTCAATGTATTCCACTTTCCTATCTCGACCTCTTGAAAGCAATTGAAATGTCATGTCATATGTAAAATGAAGAATACGCCTCAATTATCAGAAGAAGCGAGACAGTACTGTTTCGGCCCACCAGGCCTCATCAGACGCACTCGGTCTGCTGACAACTGGAACAACTCTACGCTTCGGGTAAACCACCCATTTCGAAGAAACAGGGTATAACAGGATGATGTAGTCATGTTATCGCCATCTACTGGCATGGTTATAAGGAATAGAGTTGCCCTAATTGCCAGCAGACCGATAGCGGCTGATGAGGCTTGATGGCTTGGTGGTCCAAAACTGTCTCGCTCCCCGTTGACTATTGAGGCAACTCTGTCCATCCTAGATCTCTCAGATATCAGATTTAGTTCAATGAACAGGATTGGTGGATCTTCCACTCAAGAAGTCAGGTAGTGCCATCTGTCAGCATAGTGGTTCACTCTACTTGAGCACCACATCCTCTAGTGCCTGAAATTTTCAGAGACACACTGTATACAGTGTGTCCCACTTACCATGCTCACCATGGGTATCTTTTTAACGGTGAGAGATACGAGGTCGGTTAAATGACACCAAAAGTGGAGCTTATCAAGGCCAACTATAATGTGAAAAAATATTTCGATAAAATCTATTCGTTTTTGTTTTATACGCAAAAAACAGATTTTGGTCATTTTCATGTCTCCTCCGTAACTTCTTTATTTATAAAAATATTCAAATAGGAATTTCACATTCTCATGGCAGATTTCCAAAATGATTTCGAAAAAAATATGAAATGTATACCAACTCTTCTAGAATTTGAGATATCAGCACCAACTTTAGTTTTTCAAATGTAGGTCATAGCTCACTATGACTTAGTTACAAATAACTTTTTTTTCTCTCACAGATGATATGTCGCAGTAACAGTTTTGTGTTGATAACAACGGAGTTATCGTCATTTATACAAAAACAAAAAGTTATTTGGAAGCCGCCATCTTGAATTCATGAATTTTCACAAAAAAATCATGATCTCCGACCTCAAAAACCCCCACTTACCGATTTTGAATGAAATCGGACCAAATCTTGTCCGCCATCTTGGAGCAGCCATTTTTTTTTATTTCAACAAAAATTCCATAATGAATTGTCACCGAAATTATGAACACCTGCCAAATTCCAAGTCAATCGAAGTTATGGAATTTTTACTGAAATTTTAAAAAATGGCTGCTCCAAGATCGCGGACAAGATTTGATCCGATTCCATTCAAAATTGGTGAGTGGGGGTTTTTGAGGTCGGAGATCATGATTTTCTTGTTGAAATTTATGAATTCAAGATGGCGGCGTCCAAATAATTTGTTTTTTTATAAATGGCGATAACTCCGTTGTTATCAACACAAAACTATTACTGCGACATCTGTAAGAGAAAAAAAGTTATTTGTAACTAAGTCATAGTGAGCTACGACCTACATTTGAAAAACTAAAGTTGGTGCTGATATCTCAAATTCTAGAAGAGCTGGTATACATTTCATATTTTTTTCGAAATCATTTTGAAAAACTGCCATGAGAATGTGAAATTCCTATTTGAATATTTTTATAAATAAAGAAGTTACGGAGGAGACATGAAAATGATCAAAATCTGTTTTCTGCGTATAAATCAACAACGAATAGATTTTATCGAAATATTTTTTCACATTATAGTTGGCCTTGGCAAACTCCACATTTGGTGTCGTTTAACCGACCTCGTAGCTCTCACCGTTAAGAAGATACCCATGGTGAGCATGGTAAGTGGGACACACTGTATATATCGAGCAATAAGATCTCAAAGTGAGATTGGTATGTTTATGAAACCATCACCTAGTTTGAACAATGAAAATCAAGGACAAAAATAGATAAACACTTGATCAACGATTCAATC